AAACCAAAAATAGGATCACAGTACCATAGCAACAGAGGAAGCATCGCTCAGCAGGTAACAATTAAACCAATTCCTGCAGCTCTTTGCTTACTTCTCTTAACTCCCACGTGGTTACATTATGATTACTTACATGAAAAGGGAATGCTTTTCATAACAGCAGTCTGAGGAAAATCTGACTAACATTTACCAACCACAGCACTGAAGGACTGCTGCCAGCTTATGGGGTTGTGTCTTCCTTAGTGCACAGACAGAATGTTACGTCATATTCTGGAGGTGACGACACTCTTGTTTGCAGGCTGAGGCTGCAGTCAAATGCTCATCTCCTCCCACAGCGAGCATAAAGGCATTTGCTACCTCCCACTATGTCTTCCCACCTCGGAACATCACTTGTGTTTGCTTGTGGGTTCTTGTTTAATACATTATTTCTCCTACATGTTCATCTGCATAAAACACTGATGAAACTTCCGTTTAAAATAAAAATATAGCATGGACCTCATGGTAATACTACTTACGCATCTATTATGTAAGTAAATGTATTTGCATAAGATATTCATGGGCAATGTTTTACACTCTTTATGCTCCAAAATATTAAAAATTTTTGTACATGAAAATCCAGATTTTTCTCCCTCTCCATACTGAAAGCACCTTCATCTTTTATGTTTTTATCATAAGAAAAAAAAAACGTTACTTTTTTTCTACAGTCAAATTCTCTATAAGTTTTCAATATGGCTTTCCCATATCTCGAACTGAAATTAATATCTTTAAATGCTGCATTTTAAGAAGGATGACTATCAGCAAGATACATGTCTAATATAATGGAAGAAAGAGAGAATCTGGAATGGTCCATGCATATATGTATGTATATATATATGTGTGTATATTACAGTTCAACTTTCTACCAAATAGTTAACTTCATGTGTTAAATATAGTGTATATAACTATATATATATATATATATATATATATATACATGTATATAGTGTATACGTATAACTAAAGTGTATAAATAGTGAGAAACAACAATATAGCAATTTTATTTAACATTTTTCTTGATAAATTTCAAAACCATAATTATTAAAGAATATATAAATATCCTGTAACTTAGATTATATTACTAGGCATTCTTTTCCAACTTTCTCCACTGTTCTTTTTTATTACTACTTATTTGAGAAATTAATAAAACTTGTTTTGATCATATTCAGAATGTACTATTATTCTGCTAAATGTACATAGTATTAAACTGACCCTAATGAATTATCCTTATATCCATAGATTCATGCATCTCTCAGCCCTCACTTGAGAAGCTTCTATATACAGTAGATGATGATTAATGTAGAGACCCACAAAGGTGCGGAGACTAAGAGACTGTGAGATGCTCTGTCCTAAATGAGACACTGATCACCGCCCCCCTTCCCAAGGCTAAATGATCATTGTATAAGAGAAGATAGAAAGAGTGTAAGGGCCAGAGGCAGTGGATGACTACAAGAAACATTGCCTTCCACACAAAGCAGAGCAACTACAGATATGAACTCACAGTGTCTTAGTTAGGGTTTCTATTGCTATGAAGACATACCATGACCATGGCAACTCTAATAAAGGGAAACCTAACTGGGGAGGGGGTTTGCTTACAGTTCAGAAGTTCAGTCCACTATCATCATGGTGGGATATGGAGTGTGGTGTGTGGGCAGACATGGTGCTAGAGAAGTAGCTAAGAGTCCTACATCTTGCAGGCAACAGGAAATGACCTGAGACACTGGGTGTGGCTTGAGCATATGTGAGATTAGTCAGTCTACTTATTTTACTAAGTTTGCAGTGTCTGAACAGAGACCAGTAGGCTAGAAATTCCACCTGAGACAATAGTAATTACTTCTTCTTTAGCAACTAATTTAATTACAGAAATTGAGTTGATTTTCAACATCCTAAAGCATTCAGACATTTCATTACTGGTTACTCATTGTCATATTTGATGACTGTAGAGCATGGGGCAGGTGTATTACTAATTATACCTCACAGAACAAGGGGAAGATCAAAAGTTCCTATGGTGAAGGACACAGTCTTACAGAGAAATAAGATGTCAGTGAAGTGTTGGAGTCCTAGTCTACATTAGTCTTCTGTATTGTTCCAGAATTCATCTTACTGATCTGAATTCTTACTTTTGATCTTTATAAATATTAAATGTCCAGTTATGTTATCATCACCTGAACTGTAAAATCAAATATCAGAAGTAATGTGGACAACTGAGAGGAATATATATGGCAGTTTGTTTTAGCTCTTTGTGGATCCTGTGATAGTTAAAGTAGACAGATACTGTCCTTTGCCTGGGGCTAAGCAAGGCAAGAAGGAAAACAATATCAGTCAGAAGGGCTGTCACAGATGGTATAGCATATAAATAGCATTGGGAAAGAGGTCCACAGTCACAGCCCTCAGGACATTCATGTTCAAACAGGTAAACAAACCATAAAGAGCTCTGTCTATCTATCTATCTATCTATCTATCTATCTATCTATCTATCTATCTATCTACCTACCTACCTACCTACCTATTCATCTCTCTATGTACAATCTAAATGTAATAAATATCTATGAGAGAAATAAATTAGGAAAGAAGGTAAGGACAATGAATCAATATGTTGAATAGAGTGATCAGTGATGTCATGAACCTGTCACAACAGCATTGCATGACAGAAGGCAACCGAGCAAGTTACTTCAGATTTGTAGTTGAACAAGTTCCTGTACATGTAGGTTTGAGAAGATGCTAAAGGAAAAGGGAATAGCCATGTTAATATTTTTAAGAAGAATCTTCAGTGCTCTAGAGTTATCAGTGAGCTTGCATGTTGCATAAACAAAAACCAAAACATTTAAGAACACAAGGATGAGACAACTGCATGACAGAGGAAATCACAGAAATGGCAGGGGCAAGGGGGAGCCCACAGTTACATGGTGCACACAGATCACAAATGTGGCCAGATTGCATTTGTATTACACGTTTTCCTGCTGAATTTGGTCAGTCATTTCAACAGTTAGACTACAATCAGACAAACACTGTCAAACAAGGTGTTAAATTCCCAACTGTGTCTAGTATATATATTTAAGTGGATAAGGTAGAAATAAAGTGATCAAAAGGTAGAATATATAAGAAAGTGATGCATGTCATTGGTATTTACTATAAGGAAGTTAACTTAGCCTGTAGTCTATGTCTCTCATATATATATGCATATTATATGTATATCAAGGACATATTATAAGTAACATTATATGGACTGAGAAGGTTATACTTAGGAATATATATGTAAAGATATATATGTAGGAATATATATGCATAAAATAACAATTAGTAAAAAAAAGATTCCATGAATTTGAAGGAGAGCAGGGAGGAGTACATGGGAGGGTTTGAAGGGAGAAAGGAAAGGAAGAAATTTGTAATTATATCATAATCTCATATATATATGCATATACATATACATATATATATATATAATACTCCAAACAAAAAAATGACATATTACTTTGTCTAACACATTTTACCTCATAAAGTCATCCATAGGTCTTTCTATTATAATAGATTTAACAAATCAATTTTTCCAGTGCTTTCTTATTTTTAAACTCTTTACATATATTATCCTGTTTAATATTTATAGTAATTGTGAAGTGAGCAAATTATGATTTTCATTTTAAAGATCTGTAAACTGATGTTCTAAACATTTAAGTAGATTATCTAAAGCCAGACAATGAGAGAGTGAAAAGACCTAGCCTCATTACACATACGTGTATCTGGCCTGTTCCTAAGTAACTAGACTAAAATGCTTTACTCAGCCTACCACTAAATATTTCTTTGTAAAACCAAAGGAAAAAAGACTATAGCATCATCAATCTTGAGAATGAGATCTATTTAGGAAGGTTTCTAGATGAGACTCAAATAGTAATTGTGCACATGCAATTAAGAAATACTCAACTTAGTGTGACATTATTCTATAATTGTGTCTTGACAAAGATTTATGTTGGGATTGGACATATAATTAGAAAATGTGACGAGAATTTAATGCTTGTACACTTAGGGAATTCTCTGATATTTTTCCTTTCCAGTTTTCAATACCACTACTAATCAGGAGATCTTATCTGCCAGCCACCTTCTCTGAGATTTTTATCGAGTATACAAATCTCCAGTTTCTTCATTTGCAGATTAATCTCAGCTATCTGCGCTCTGGGCTGAGGATCTTTGCAAGATCTTCCAGGGAACTTTACTCAGCATTCTCTCAACATCTCACTATTAGTCTCAAGCCTCTTGGCAAGATTTCTACTGAAGCACTTGTTTCTAGAATGCTCAACTGTCAACCTTAAGACTTCATGCATTTATGTTTCTCTGTTTCTTAGGAAACCAGTAGAGAACTCTACTCAGTTTACAGCTGAATTTGTCAACTTACTAAATGAGCATCCTCTATTATTCTCACATTGCATGGTGAGTTTATATTTCCAACTTTCTATGTTAACATTTATCTGCCTCTATTGATATTATCTTATACCGTATTTTCTATCAGCCAGAACCTGACATACTACCACATAAAAGGCATTTGTTATTTTAAAATACTATCATTGCCTTACTATAAATAATACATATTCAATCTCATCTTTTCTTAATTATATTTTCCTACTAATTATAAATTATCAAAATACATATTAAGGGCTTAAAAAAGAGGGAAAGGTGAAATAAATCATGTATTCTTGCTTGCATGATTTTCTTATTAGTGTTTCTGGTTGTGGACTGGTGTATACTATGCAAAGGACTGGTGATGAATACTTATGTCAGACGAGTAGAAAGAGCCAACATGCCAGGTTTTATAAAGCCTGTCTTGTGTGCCCTATTTATTTAAAATTTGTATCAAATCAACATATAGATAATTAATGTGCAGTGTGAATTCCCTTCCAAAAAGTCAGTAGAGATCAAAGATACAATTTAAAATAGGAACTGGTAAGAAACAGTTTATAAGATCGAAAATCACTTACAGGAACCAGGAATTTTTTAATCTCTTCCAAGGCATGACTCATCCGTGAATAAGCTTCCCCAGGTGGAGCAAACACTTCAATTAATACATGCAGTTCATCACTCAGGTGTGCATACTTGGCCTCTCCGCTCTTCCTCAGCTCTTCTTCCTGTGAAAAGGTTATTTTTAGAAAAACGGATCCACTCATTTTGCACATTTTGCATTGATTTAACATTTCCTGAGATTATGACAAAGGGCCACAATCTAAGTAAATTTTCCAAAAGTAAAAGGCAGCTCTTGGAAAAATAAAGATATGCTGCAAGCCAGTTAACAATTTCCAAATAATTCTTCTGGGTTGGAATCATCCACTACAGATTTAAATCAGCTAGGTGAAATGTTAGCCTTCTGAAGGGGAGACACCTAAGTTAATCCTTTCACATACATTGCTACGCTTCTGACGGACAAGGCTCTTTTGTGTATAGTATATAGTAGTACTTTGTATCTAGTATATAATACTGGCATTGCTGCTCTGGCAGAGAATAAAAGTTGGGTTCTCAGAACACATGTTGGGCAGATTACATTTACCTAAATTCACCTGTAAATCTAGCTCTTCTGTTCTCTCCACACTACCTGCCCTCCCCACGCCTCCCTGCAAAAGCAGAGCTAAAAAACTGCATCCATGCTGCCTGTTTGCTGGCTTAGCTACCCTTCTTCACTCTTATACAGTTCATGGCATAGCCTAGGGAATCATGCCACTTACAGTGGGCTGAGTCAATAGAAAATCAAGACAATCTCTCTTATGGATACACCCACAGGCCTATCTAAGATAATTCCTCAGGAGAGACTCTCTTCCCAGGTGATTCTTCACTGTAGCAAGTTGGCATTTAAAATCAGGCACATGCCTTAATTTACTGACGATCCTTTAATAGAAGTTCAGCTGTACCTTAAAGGAGAACACTGTGTGACCTGAAGAAGGAATATTGCCATATGGGCCCCGAGTGGTCTGAGCAATGCACATCAGGGAGCACCTCCCACAGAGGGAGAGTCCTCTCCCATCTACTGAATTTCATGTGTTCAACTTGATCTATTAGAAAATAATGAGCAGGAGATATTTCCCTTGAAGTTGAATAAACTAAAACAATATACATTAGACAAGAGGATGACTAGAAATTCTTCTAGAGTTAAAATTTTGTAACTCACCTATGACTTGCATTCAGTTCTGGTACTTAAAATCTAAATGTTTGAAAATACTGTTTCTCAAACAATTTGTCCCCTGTGATGTATTTCCAGGACAAGAGACTTTGAAAAGAGCAGAGTAGGAAAAAGGAAAGGATTTTGGAGACTGTGCAGTCTAGATGTGAATTAATAGCCACGGTGTTTTCTATATGTGTTATGTGAGCCTAGATACTTAATTCTCTGAGCTTTTTAGCGTTTCATCTGGAAAACAAGATAAGTTAAGTTGCTGTGGTGACACATGCCTGTAAGCCCTGCTACACTGGAGCTAAAGAAAGAGAAGTCAGTGTTCAAGATCCAAATGGGCTAAAGAGTAAGCTCTTATCCCACCTTACACAGATACAAAGACAAATGATAAACCACTAAGCCAGCTTTAGATTTCCATGCAAAGATGATACTTGGTAATGCAGATAAATTTCAGATAAATGCCACACTGTCAATACTAGAGAAATTTAAGATTTTTATTTCTTCTGGCAAGGAGCAAATTATTGTTGTTGTTGTTGTTTTAACCATTTGGCTTTTTGGGGGGCCCACCCCTCAGCTCCCAAATAAATCACATGGAGGCTTATTCTTTCTTATGAATGCCCAGCCTTAGCTTGGCTTATTTCTAGCCAGCTTTTCTTAACTTAAATGATCCTATCTACCTTTTCTCCCTGGGCTTTTATCTTTCTCCTGTATACCTTCCTTTATTTCTTACTCCATTGCTTGTTGTGTAGTTGGGTGGCTGGCCCCTGGAGTCCCCCTCCTCTCGCTCTTAGATCTTTCTTGCTCTCTTTTTCTCCTTCTATATATGCTCTCTGCCTGCCAGTTCCACCTGCCTTTCTCCTGCCTTGTCATTGGTTGTTCAGCTCTTTATTAGACCAATCAGGTGTTTTAGACAGGCAAAATAACATAGTTACACAGAGCTAAACAAATGCAACATAAAAGAATGCAACACATTTTTGCATCATTAAAACAAATGTTCCACACCATAAATAGATGTACCACATCTCAAAATAGTATTCCACAACAGCAAATCATTTGATTAGGGTTTTCTTTTTATGACTTTTAAAATTACATTTTTTTAAATTTTTATTTCACTTTTTATGATTCTTTGTGGATTTCACATCATGCATCCCAATCCCACTTATTTTCCTTTCTCCTCACATCTGCCTTCTGCCCATGGAATCTCCCCCCCAAAACAAAACAATATTTAAAAGAAAAACAAATAAACAAGCAAACAAACAAAAACCAAACTAAACCAACAAACCACCCAGTCCCCTAAAAGGAGAAGAACCTCATCATGGAAGCTATAGTATGGCCCATTGAGTCATACAGTTTACTCTTTAGTCCATTGATCTTTACTCCTTAGTGTTTATTTCAATGAGTTATTGGTCTGGTTTGAGGCCTATGGCTTCTGCTGCACTATCAATAATGGGTTCTTTCTGGGGTTGCTATTGAATAGCCTGTTGTTATCCTGTGTCCTGGAAACCCTGCAATTTTGGATCTGTAGGTTTCTCCCCTTGACATGTTCTAACAGTCCAAAGATGAGGTGGATTTGGGGATGGGCTAACTCATAGCCCTGGTTCTGGGCCTGGGTGATAGCTGGGTTGATCAGTCTGCAAGCTTTCCCTCATCATCACTACCCAGCCTAGCTCTCTAGCACTGCCTCAGCTAGCTTACCCAATGCAGTCTACTGCAAGGGGAGGGGCCAGTTCTCAGGTCCTCAGATCAGACTCACCTCGCTCAAACCACTAGGGCCAGCTCTACTGTTCTGCCCAGATGAGGTGCATGGCCTTCTATCCTGGTTGCTGCAGGGGGTCATAGCATACAGGGGCAGGATGCAGGATCAGCTCTTCTACTCTCACACCCTCAGGGCTGGCTCACCTATCCCCAACAACAAGGTCAGCTCTAATACTGTCCAGGTGGGGTGCAGGGCCCACTACATGCTGCAGTTGGTGAGGGGCAGGGCTAGTTCTCTCACTCTCTTGATCCCAGGGCCAGATCTCTTGTCTGTTGCAAGTAGCAGGAGGCAGAGGTGGAGGGCATCCTTACCTCACCCATGTTACCACAGGCAGAGGAAGGAGTGGGCGGGTCAGCCTCTGTTGCTTGCACACTATCAGGGCTGGATCACCTGCATACTAGACAATAGGGACAGCTTCAGTGTGCTGCCCAGGTAAGTTGCACACCTGTGGTGAGGGTTTGGGCCAGTTCTCCTCCAGCGTGGGGCAGGGCCAGCTATTCCAGAACCAATGGAGGGCAGAGCAGACTCGGATCTCCACACTTGTTCCTGTGATCTCCTGAGCTAACACTGGCCATGGACATCATCACGAACTCCAGTTGCAGCAGGCCCACAGGCCCACACATGGCCCTTGGCAGCAGCTTGGGCCTAGATGTCACCATGGCCCTGGTGGCAGCACAGGTCACCCAGATCAGTATGGTCCTGGTGGCAGCATGGCCCTTGGATAGCAACATGGTCTCAGATGGCTGACTAGGCCCTGGGCATCTGCAGAGCCCTCGGTAGTAACAGGAGTCGTGGATATCAATCCAGACCCTGGCCACTGCAGGGCCATGGACCCAGACATGGCCATAGGCAGCATCCCAGGCCCAGATGTCTCCATGGTCTTAGGTGGCAGCACAGGCTATCCATATCAGTATGGCCCAGCAGCAGAATGGCCCTTAGACACCGAGATGGTGTCAGATGGATGACCAGACACTGGTCATCCCCATGACCCTGAGTGGTAACAGGGGCCGTGGACATCAACTCAATCCCTGGCTGCTGTAGGGCCATAGACCCAGACATGTCCTTGGCAGCAGCCCTGGCCTGGACAACAATATGGCTCCAGGTGAGAGGACAGGCCACTCGAATCATCATGGCTCTGGCAAGTTTTTCTTTTATGATTGAGGTTTTCTGTTAAGAATGCTTTGAATTCTAGAATGTGATATGTGTGACTCCAAAGTCACATTTTTAGGTCAACTGTATATTTTTAACATTTAATTCACTTGAAAGAATATTATCTCAGAAGTTACAAATACAATGTTGCTGTGATAAAAGGGGGAGTATGAGTTGGATGCTAATTTAGGTATTAAATCAATTCAACAAATAACAACGTTAAGGGGTTATATTCTTAAATAATATTTTAAACTCAAAAGTTCAAATATTTTGGAAAAATGAGGAAAAACTGTCATCATTTTGTGTCTTAGATTCTTCAGCATGCAACAGTGAAATGCCATAGGCTGGGTGGCTCACATGTCACTCTGCTGACTCTGTTGGCAGGGTGGTCTGCCAGGCTTGCAGACAGCCGCCCTCTGTATCTGTGTGGGTGTCCAGAGAAGGCTCTGGTTTCTTCTTTGCTAATAAGGACACTGCTCCATAAAATTCCTATGCATCCTCTTCATGTCCTTTAACCTTTACGATCATACTAGGGATCTGTGCTTTCAGTTCAGGAATGCACACACGCAGACATTTTACCCATTGTGCTAAGTGCACGGACTAAGCAGGTAATGTCTGAGTAACTTATAAGGCTATCATCTACAGTATGTTAGAACTTGGCCACGTTATGCTGAAAGAAGAAATGGCGTGGCCGTTAACCCATCTAGTTTCTTGCATGGTAACCAGTGTGAATAATCCCAGTTTCCCCACGTGTTAGCATATAAATCGGCCAAACTTTGACTTCACTGTTTGGGATGTCTACCTGCTTACCCACAAAAGGCTGAGAAGTGGTGAGAATAATCACATAGCAGGAAGTAACCACACATCACTATTGCTAAGTGTTCTCATCCTACTTATCTCATGTTCAAAACAATATATCAAATTATAAATGAACAAAGGAGTTCAGGTCTTCTAAGATCCAAATTAATTTTCCACAAGTAGCTTGACCAGTGACACAAACAAACTAAATAATAGAAATGTTGAAAATGTGTTGTGTACAGTATATGCAGTTTTATACTTTGGTT